AACCTTAAACGCCTGCCAACTGTCAAACATTTTATACTTTACGCGTTGTCTACATATTTTACACGTTGTCTACATAGATTACATAGTTTACATTGTCTACGCGTTGTTTATACCAGACGTAGACAATGTTAATTTACGCGTAGATGCCCATCCCTGATATTCAGTTGTTAATTTAGAATTGAATAACAGCGATGATGATAACGACCTTCACATAGGTAATATATATAAGCACAAAACATTCAAAAAATGCTTATTTTGCTGTTACAGTTTGCTTTTGAAATATAATATGTATGCCGAGGCCTATCCCGATCTCCAAAGAGCTTACCAATACATACTAACTTTATCCATATCACAGGTTAGTTGTGAGAGGTCATTTTCAAAGCTGAAATATATTTTGAACAGGCAACGAAATAGTTGGGGACAAGATCATCTGGAAACATTTATGCTTATGGCAATTGAAAAAGATGTTCTACAATCTTTAGATAATAATGATATAATTAAGCATTTGATGGAAAATTCAGTCACTCAGTCACTCAGAGAACTTTTGTCATAATTCACCCGCGACTTCATCGCCCATGATTTAATTAACTTTTCCGGTCGGCAATAAAATAGACGATATGACAGTAACTGTAATTTATTTTCGATAAATAATAAACTTTTGAAACACTTCAATTCATCTTTCAATTATTAACTCGTTTATACCTATAGCAAATAGTGGAAAGTGATACAAAATCGAGAAAAAATTATAAGGAATATGAATATATCAGCAAAGCAAAAGTAGGTGGCCTGGCAAGTCTCATCATCGCCCGGCCTGATTTCTAGTGCCAGTCCGCCCCTGGATCTCACGACAGATAAGAGCGCCAAGAGAATAAAGGAAACGCCAAAATTGGACCTAAAAAGGATAAAGATCCTCTTTCTTTATGTCGATATCGGGAAAACGAAACTCTAGAGGAGAGACAATGATTTTCTCCCAATTCCAAAGGAAAATGGAGGTGATGTTGTCCAAATGCATAAGATCAATAATAAAATTGTGCTGGATATACAGTGCCCGCGGAAAAGTCTGCACCATATGGGAAATTTTTTTATGCTCATCCTTACTTCAAATCAGTTTTCGGTATTGGGTTCTGCATGACTGAAAACCAAAAAAACACCTAAAATTTTTGACTCGAGACTTACCTCACACCTGTCAAATGCCATTTGAAAATTTCAAACAAGGAAAAGTGGCATTTTTATAAAAAATATGAAAAAATTTTGTAAGAAAATATTGCTCCAAATGAATTTGATATTTTTACTTTGAAAAAAAAAAGATTTTTTTTTTTTAAATTTTTTCGAATATCTACGGAAAAATAATATTTTTAGGATTTCTTTCGCGACCATTCCTCTAAAATAATTAGTTTGTATCTGACTAATGGTTTTTTACATCTTAATAATCTAATTAAGAGTTTAAACATCAAAAAGAAATATTTCTATAAAAATTTTGATACGCCTCTGGACTATTTTGAAAATTTTAGATTTCTCAAATTGAAATTTCAAATTGTTTGTTTATAAACTACTCCTAAAAGTCATTTGGAACAATATTTTCTTATAAATTTTTTTCATATTTTTTATAAAAATGCCACTTTTCCTTGTTTGAAATTTCCAAATGGCATTTGAGGCAAGACTCGAGTCAAAAATTTTAGGTATTTTTTTGGTTTTCAGTCATGCAGAACCTAATGCCGAAAACCGATTTGAAGTAAGGATGAGCATAAAAAAAATTCCCATATGGTGCAGACTTTTCCGCGAGCACTGTAGACAAACATAATATGGAGATGTGAGAATCTTGTCTCGTTTTGGCACTTTCATTGACACTCCGCTCCGATTGGTGAAGATTAACATGAAAATCCATTCTCAGTTGAGAAAGAAAATACTTATTGAGACGAATGAGAAGTAGAACTAAAAGGCATATTGAAAGAAGACTTGGCCTAGTTAACGTGCTACGTGGAAAAAAGCATCAAAAAAGCTTCTTTAACAGAAGAATCAGTGAATACGTCCATTTGGACTTGTTTAAGTATTTATTTGGATTGATTGAGTATTTACTCGACAAAATAAGCACATATAGGGGAAATGTGCCTGAGTTGGCATACGGGACGAGTTGGCATGCTGGTATTTTCTTGGGTTCTAAAAAGTTTGTGGCGCAATTAACCTTCCCCTTTCGTCAACCCATTGTATACAAGCCGCCAAATGTATTTGAGGTGTCCTCCGGTCATAAACAAAGATGGTAATTCCAATAGTGTTTTTTTTAAGGCAAGAAATATCCAATTTACTCTTATAATTTGCTACAAAACATAAAACTCCTAATATTTTCCGAAATTTTAAAAGCGGGAATCGATTTTATAATCCTAACCCTAAAATTCTAGGGTATAACCGTTACTATGTTTTATTGTGGTTGTGAGTAAATTGATCTTATTTTTAAAAAAGTGACTTCGGGCAAGTTGGCATACCAAAGTTTCGGGCTAGTTGGCATAATATGCCAACTCACCCTTACGTAATAAAATTAATTACATATTTGGTTTTTTATTGCAAATTTAAGTAAAAATGGTTGGGAAATACCAACGAAAGAGTAATCGCCTTCAATGGGATGCAGATTGCAGATAACATGAAAGCAGCAATAAGAGCTGTTAAATCTGGACCAATGGGCTGGTTGTTAGCATCCAAAACCTACAGTGTTCCTTTTGGCACATTACGACGACGCTGTCAGGGATCGAATACATTTAGTGTAGGAGTATATTAAAAACATGGAAGTTAGGTTCTTTGGATTTACGACTTTAGAGGTCCGCAAACTTGCATTTGACCTGGCGGTCCAGAACAACATTAAACACTCGTTTAATTCACAAAAGAAGATGGCGGGCTGGGATTGGTTAAAGGGATTTACGAAGCGCAATCCGATTATTTCACTCAGGTTACCCGAATCAACCTGTTCTGCCAGAGCCAGGTCGTTTAATAGAGTGCGAATAGGAAAATATTTTGAACAGTTGGAAAGAGCTCTGGAGCAAGTTAATTATAACCCGACCCAAATTTGGAGTATGGATGAAAGTGACCTTAGTACAGTTATTGAATAAATTTAATTTGACAATTTAATCCCATATTATAGTTATTTACTTCAAGTAACTCGGTAGTTTGGGCAAGATGTCATGCCATGTCATCTTATCCGAAATATTCAGTCTGAGATGGCATACTATGCCATCCTACCCGGAATATTCAGCCCGAGATGGCATACCGAGGTGAGTTTTAGAAAACAAAAATCTAACTAAAAAACAAAGTTAGGGTTTTATTAATTTTTGATATTGTTAGGCTAGGTATTTTCCTATTCAAAAACCAAGTTTTAAACCTTAAATTCCAAAAATAACATGGAAAGAAAAATAATTACGAAATGTATGCCAACTCGGGCACATCTCCCCTACTCACCCCGGTATAAAAAGAATTAAGAACTGTGAAAAAGACTATAGGAAAAGATGGAACATCATATACCACGATTAACTGATTGAATATAGGCTTTAGGATTGAGCTCAGAAGGCATGTTGGAAATCGATGGAAGAGAACTGAGTACAGGGTTAGAAACAATTAATTGGACAACAGAATAAGCAAGTTGAAGACGGAAGAAGCAATTTTGACATAACCAAATAAATGTTGGAAGGAAGGCAAAATTTCTGACCTATGCCAGTATTCTATCAACCCGTAGAATATGGGGGATTCAGGAAGAGATACACCACAAATGATATATTCAAGTAGTACGCTCTCCTAGAAAATTGCGAAGAGCATAACATCTAACCACACTTAGCATGTTTGGTCTACCAAAAGACATCCAGTTGAAATCTGGGCAGTTCTGGATTTGATAGTTCAGCCCGCATCGACTATCGACAATCAAACTTGAACAAATACATCCTAAAACACTACTCTTCATGCCTGTATTGCCTGTAAAGGTGAACTTGAGCAAACTTAACAAAAGATGAGGAAGCCACTCAAACTATTGGGTTTATACATGAATCTACAAAAAGAAGAAATCCTGAGCTCATACATCATACACGTACTCATCGATATGATGGAGGAGATTGACAAGTATGTATTGTATCTGGGACACAACGTCAAACTAGAGAAAGCATTAGTCATCAGACAGATCGACTTAAAATAAGCAGCATTCGACAGATTAACTTGAATATTCAGAAAGTCAGAAAATCGAAGTTTCCTATAATTTTTAAAGAAAAGTCTAGGGCGCATGCCGCGTTTCAGTTGCGACATACGGGCTAGAAAAGTAGATCATTGGTAATAAACTACTGCGACTTATTTGGTGTGGTGGAACTAGTGGCAAGATTGAGGTAATGGCTTCGAGCGAGCTTCGTGAGGATAAAAATTGGACTAAGGCCTTGATCGACCACGAGGATCACAAAGTAGCGCCGGTCGATCACACAAAAAGACATATGCAGGAGAGAGGAACTGGTCTTAATTTAGGAGTGTCCAAAGAAGAAGAACAAGATGCTTTTAAGGACTCATCTCTCCATTTTTCAGCAGTAAGCGTTAGAAAAAAATTTCAGCTCAGGAGCACCATAGCATTAGAAGTCAGATTCTGGTTTGCTTAACATTTTGTCTCATAGACTTTGAAAATGTCTTTGGCAAACTAGCAAAGACTCAGATGAAAAATAAGAGTCCGATTTATCCTAAGCTTATTTATCCAAAATTTGAGGTCGCAACTGAAAAGTGAGAGTGTGATTTAATTAAAATTTGACAGGAGGAACTGAATTGAGAAATGAGATGAATTATTGTGATCTCAAAGTTAGAAGGTAAGAAGCACGAGCTCAATTCAAAGAAAATTTAAGCTCATTGAAAGATCATTTTGAACTTTTATCTAATTTTACAAGAAATTATAACTAGCAGAATAGAGAATAATATTTTTTGTGCCTATCTACTTGAAAAAAAAAACATATATATTTAATTACGATAATCAGAACATCATTTTATTGAAAAATCTACCTATTTCCTTATGGTTTGATGATATTGCATCACTATTAAAACATTTACATATTTGACTAAGTTGACATCACACTTTATAACGTTACAGCACTTTTTGTTTGTTAATCAACATTCTTTTAAATCTTAAAAACTTAACAAAACGTTCATAGATATATTTTATTTTAAAATATTTATACAAAATAAGCTATAAAGTAAAATTATGTATAATTATAGAGAATCTACAATCAATTTCACTCACATACTTCACAATCTCTAATACAAGTTTCTAATCTAACCGTACTCGCTCCAATTGTATGTTTCACTCTTGCATGTAATCTTTGAGCTAAACTAGGACCATTTTCTTCTGGAAAGCAAAAGCAAACCTTTTTCTCTGTTGGGCTCACGGAACCTTCTTTACATGGACAATGCGCACCTTTAAGTGGTTTATAATGTTTTCGACAACAACTACATAAAGCTGGTTTAGTTTCAGCTAAAAATTCAGTTGTTGGTCTTAAAGATAGGTCAGTAAAGGTGCACTCGTATTTTGAACAAGTTGGACATAAATATATGCTGTGTTGGCTGCCACATGAACAAGGACATTGTTCTCGTACTGTGTGACTATTGCGTCCACGGCGACTTTTTCCTACAATTTTAACAAAACTTGAACCAACTTGATCTTGGCTTGATTCTCCAACTGATTCACCGCAATAACACAAAGGATTATTTTTATCCTGATTTTCATCTCCTTCGAATTCCAGGCCCGGTCTGACTTGTATCACATCATCCTTGACAACTTTATCTGGATTTGTTCTTAAAATTAGATCATCTTCTGGCCGTTGGTATTTAAAAATGGGTCGTTTATCTTTTTTTGGACGATGGAAGCGCTGTTGAGCTTGACTGTAGGCTACAGTATGACAAACCTTTTTCGGATGTAGTTTTTTGGGTGGATTTTGGACTGAACAAATTGATTTCATTGGATTAACCTGTAGTATTTTGTCCGTAAATCGTTGCTTTGCATCTGAAAACGTTTCTTCTATGGTTGTTTTAGTGCAAAGCTCTAGTTTTGGCGATATTGTTCCAGGAAATAATTTGGTGGTTACCATCAATAAGTCTATATTACTTCCAGCAACATTTGACGGTGCAAACGAGCTAGGATAAAGTAAATCATCTAAAGTTGTCTGGAAACTAGCTAAAACCATACCTTCATCGCAATTTTTCCACTGTATGAGTTCTACACAAAGCCATTCTCTTCCCAAGCTTCTTTGTAGTTCGTTTAATCTTCTCTCTTTTAGGAAAGTTTTATAAAAAATAAACTTTTCTGCAAAAACTACAGGAAATATCGGCTTACGAGCTTCTGTTTGTATAGTTGAATCTAGCATGCAAAGCTGTAAAGACACTTTGCCATTCGAACACAGCCACACGCCCGGACAAGAGATTTTTTGGACAGTCAGTTCTACTTTGACTAGAAAACTTTTCGCGGGCATTTCCGAAGAATAAAACTGAAAATGTTACATGTTTACTTTAAAAATGAATTTTGAAGTTGATCGATCGACGAGAAATTCAGGTTAACAAGACGAGTGTCATTGCGTGCCTTGACAACGACGAACGTGGTTACTCCCGGTAACGAATTTCGTCAATGTCAACAAATGGATCAAATGGATTTTTAGGTCAAAAGAGTGACGGTGTAAAATAGTATTTGCGTTTGCTTCCGTTTGTATGCGTTTGTTAATGGATTAGCAATACAATCTAATGTACCACCACTAATGGTTGCAGGGGAAATATTGATTTTGTCGACATACTGCACTATTCTTCTCCTTAACCTTCTTAAGTGTTTTACATAATCTGGAAATGTATGTGAAAATGCATGTCATATTGACCCTGTTCTTTCGGATCATCATGCATTCCTTACTTCTTTGCCTCTAAAAATAAACCCATATAAGCGCTACAGGCAATGGGGTAGAAATTCTAGCAGAAAAACTTTCTCTCTTACTTTATGGCAAATTTGCAAAAACACTCATTGGCAACCCATTTTATCTAAAGAAGATCCCCTTCAGTCCCATTCAGGAGTTTCTTCGGAAAAAAAGTCAAAAGTAGGTATGTGCTTGATAACAAAAGATTCGATTATCCGCATCCAATTTATAATAAAATTGGAGACGTACAGCAGAAACTACAAGAACTTTCTGAAAATACTATAAACCTAACATTGAACATTTTTTGACTTTCGTCTTCTGCAGATTAAAAACAACATACAATAGAGAAATAATATTTAGCATATTGCCATTGAGGGGACCAATAATACCTTTGACTATTTCACTAGAGTGTATTACACCGGCAATAAATTCGGTATTCAGCTAACAATAGGCAGTTTTCGAATCCTCCAAAAAGTATCACCGGTAGCCGCTATTTGACAACTATGACATTTGAATGTCATTTAGCGTATATCGCTACCGATACCGTCCGCTATCCTACGGACGATAGACATAGTGGTAGCGATAACGATACGCATACGCAGCACTGTTAAATTTATATCTATCCTTTTCTTTCTAGAAGAGTAAATGGAAAGAAAGTTTTGGGGTTGTTTGTTTTGATTAGTTTTTGGTTATGTTTTTTCTATTTATGTAATTATTTTTTTTTTTTCGAACTTTTCTGTGCATTTTCAGTGTTAGTTTGGCTGTACAATGAATGCGGCTCACACTAACAGTGTATTGACTTGAATTATGATATCAAATCAAATCAAATTAAATAAAAAAATAGGTACTTTATTATCCAAGAAAATCAAATTTCTATTGACAAGCATGTTTTTCTAAATTCTTCAAATTACAATAAAATTATAAATAAAACTGCTATAGCTAATCTAAGTATAAAATATCTAATATAATAGTACATTATATACCTAGGTAGAGAAGTTGGTCATTATATACCGAGCGCTTTTATATAATGCATAAGGTATATAATGACTTTCTCTACCGTGGAATATATAGAATTTTTTTTACCACTGCTATGGTAGAAAATAAAAAATAAGTTTGAAATCTGTGCTCAAATTATTTTTCCTAGTAGGAAGTGCTGCCCTCTATCAACATCTATGGCAATTTCCTATGATACATACAGGAACCTGTTTTTTTGATTAAATTGACAGTTTGAAATTGAAATTAAACCAATAGAAACCTATAACGTTATGACAATATCCTTGCGTCATGACGTCATTTTCATTATTTTCATTATTAACCTAGGGAGAGAAATTCAATTTTTTCCGAGAAAAATAGATTGAATAATGACTACTTCTCAGGTTAGTAGTAAAAAAAATACATTATGTACGTCTTCAAAATATAAACAACAAAACACATCAAAATAACAGGTTAGGAACAACGATTTCACAGCTGATAGAAAATCCTTTCCGTTAACGGGAAGCGGCATGTTTCGAACGACTCGAAAACACTTTTTCGAAAACCGTCAAATAGCGGCTAAGTTAACGTTTACGTCTATGTTAAGCGGCAGAATGAGCACATCTTCGAAAACTGCCTAATATTGCCACAGCATATACAAAAACAATCAGCAGGTTAACTTGAATGACAGCCCGTGTAATAAAGGAATTCATGGTCGGGATGTCACTAGCGGCCATTTTGCCATACGAAACAGGGCCTGATTAACGATAATTTAGGTTTTTTCTTTCCTGTCACAGAGTCGTATTGGCTTTAAATAAACTAATTTATCATTACTTACATAGTTACATATAATAATATTTATAATTACTAATTTATTATTATTATTAAATATACAACAGTGATAACAGATAGCACTATAAATGACAACACAAATATACTAAACTCATTTCGAAAATCATAACTAAAATTCCGCTCTATACCGCACGCCTATGACCTCCGTCAGAATTAAAGAAATAAAATAAAATTTCGGCGCCCCTGCCGTTTAATGACAGGATGGTATCCCCTAATGGCGGCGTGCACAGAAAAGATGCGCGTGAGAGTTAGCCTGCTGATTGTCTTTGTATATGCTGTGAGATTGCTATACCTGGACAATACTAACAACATGGTATTTCAGCGACTATTTTTTGACATTGTCAAACTGATATTTTTAATTTTAAGTTTTTGTTCATATTTTTGCATTCCATTTATTTTCGAAATCTTTCGTGAAATAGTCATGAAGAATACCACTCGAGAAAAAATTGTGTAGGCAAAATTGTTCTCAAGGTTTTATTCAAGTTTGTTGCTTTTCGGCAATTTCGCGAATGACATTTTTGACAAAATCACGAGCCGTCAGGCGTAGAATAGTATGTTGTTGTATTAGGAGTAGAAGCTTTACTTTTTTGTGCTGAAGCAGGAGGTTTGCGAGCCGAACGTAGTGAGGCTTGCAATACTGCTGAAGCACAAAAAAGTGCTTCTACTCCGTATGCAACACGCTATTTTTTCTCCAAACGAATGTGGTAAGCTCGGGGGTAACTGGATGGTTGAGCGGCAGTAAAAGTACGAGCGGCACTAAAAGTACTTTTACTGCCGCTCCAGCGGCACCAAAAGTACTTTTGCTGCCGCTGGGGTTGCCAAGCAGCATAGAAATTAAATTTCTACCACCTCGACAGGTGTTAACCTCCTGGATTTGCCTAGCAACATAGAAATTGAATTTCTACCATCTTGACAGGTGTTGACAAAGTGATGTTTTCTTGACGTTTGGAGAAAAAAGTGATTTATATTCTTGATATAGAACGCTCACTTCTGTTGTATTCGCCAATTTTCGACGGTGCTGCTATAGCGGTGTAGTCATTGAACTAATATTTGGCGAGCCGTTTGAATCTCAGTTTTGAATGACTGGTTTGATATTTCAATTATTTCAAAATAATGCAGTGCTCTAAAACTTTATAAACTAATTTTATTCATTTTATTTTCATATATTTATGTGAGAATCACTTAATGAATAAAATAGTCTATAATCTAGATGATATTAGTACGGTTGCTTAGCGAAAAAAAAACGCGATTTGATGATACAAGCATGAAATTTGGCACAGTTGCTAAGTAGACCATTTTAATCGATTTGAGTCGATGATCCATCGACTATTCTCATTGGCACAAAAAAAATTTGTATCCATACAAAGTCAACAAAATTTTTGCAGTGAATAGGGAACTTACATGGAATAACAATCATTACATTGGGCGCTGGTTTATTCACCTTCTGATAAACTGTCAAGTATGCAATCTAACGGATAAAAACGCACTCTGTAATCCTATTGGTCGGCCAGTTATCCGCCAACTAATGGGATTATAGAACGGTAAATTTATCTTGCAGATAGTTACCAGCAAGGGCCCGATCGAATAAATGGAAGGTACAGATGTTAATAACGACATTATTTGCAAAATTTTTCGAATTTATTCAAAAATACAATCCTTACGAATTTTTAAAAATGATATTGCCGTCTCTACTCGCATCGACTTATTATACGATACTGATACTACGGAACGACGTCACATAGTATTAGTCTTTTTATTGCTGTAACTTTGTTAATTTTGAAGAAATTCAAATTTTGTTTGCACAGATCAGTTCCGAGCGTTTTGAGGAATCAATTCAAAAACTAAAAAAAAAAGGGTCAAGTTCCCTATTAATTTGAAGTGATTATCTAAGATAAATCAAGCCTTTTTGTTTTTACAACTTCCTTTGTAAGTAGGAGTGCAAGGGAGACTAAGGTGGTGACAGGAACACCTCATAGTATCACATCTTGTCTTAGAAATGCAGTTTTCTGTCTGTTTATGTCTCGCAACTCCTTCCACACAGAAGACAGCTCACTCCATTTTGGAGTTTATTTATTGTTGCTCATCAAGGTCCAGCCCCAGTTTTCGGGAGATGGAGAAAGCGACCTGCCTCATATTTGTCCAGCTTGATAAGCTGCCCTTTTGGCTTGTTCCAGAACTCTACCTTGGGACAGAGGAGTTGAACTGAGTGGTCGCTTTCCAGAGCAGAAAAGAGATTCTCGAATCTCGTTCACACTAAAAGATTCACTGTTTATGTCGTACATAAGTATACTGAATCTTTCTATGCCTTTTAAAACATTAGCAGGAAAAATATAGCAGGTAATTCTACTGCTCAAATATTCAAATGCTGTATTCATCTCTTCCTTCCTCCAGGGTCCTTATTCTTGAAACAAGGGAGCAGCGTTGCCAGGAGTTCGAGTGTTCCGCCTTTCTCAATATATATATAATCATATATGAAAATGATAATATAGGTAACAAAGACAGAACCCTCGTTCTCCTGGGAACGCTGCTCCCCGATTTCAAGAATAAAGACCCAGGCCATCCATGCCTGTTTTTGCTCCTGTTTGCAAAAAAACAGTCACCGTGTCACAACCTGTGTTATGTCGAGGCGCTCGGGGTTATGTGTACGCGTGTGCAATGCACTTATCACGTCCCACATTTGCTGCGATGGCATGACTAGCAATATATCTTTTGTTTTTTACCGTTCCAAGTACATACCATATTTTGCAGAGTATGAAGTATTTTTTTTGGAATAAGAATAATAAGATGTTTATATCAACGGTATTATTCGAGCGAATATATTATGACACTTTAGGACGCTTC